GTTGTTGTTTTCATGCAGGTAAATGTAGTAGTTTTGTGCTTTGTAATACATGGATTTTTAACAATAAAGAAGAATCGCCATAAAGGGATGGTGGATATGAATAAGTTGAAGTAAGTCATATTTTTTCATTCAATATTTGTTATTTTTGATGGCAAGCAGCGTAATATTTCAAACTAAGTACCATTAATACAATAAACTGTGGCGTGGTTAAATACGTAAAACGCCGGGAAGCTGTTAATATTAATATATATATTAAGTAAATTGTAAATTGTTTTTACAGGCCAGCAATCCGAGCCACTATTATTACTCTGCCTTGTTTAATGATTACATGGTTCTTAAAGTCTTTTGCAATTGAAAAGAATACTGAACCTACATACACAGTCTATGCTATTTGTAATATACTGCAGGTAAGTATATTCTGTAGCATTGTGATTATTACAACGCATGGCTTGTTTATTCCGCCGCTGTTGATGTTAACCCATGCTTTGTCTAACGTGGCGATTGCTGTTATTCAGCGGTTGGTTTTCCAGACAAATCTGGAGATTGTGAGTTCATGAGACCTGGAAAAACAAAGTGTACACACAGTTTAATATTCAGAAAATAATTGTTTGAAAGTGGCATATCATGCTTGTAAATTAGTTCCGGGATTCACATGTACCTAATGTGTAACGCCGTTACTGATGCCTCTGTCCTGTAATGTTTACTTGGCATGCAAAGAATCGTCGTATGAGATTCCGGATGATATGGAACCGTTAAGTTACGGAAATTATCTGTTGTATATGCTACCTACATTCTCAGTTCCTGGGCGATAGATAATATATTTACAAACGTCGATGTTTCTCGCATAACAATGAATATTGAACTATATTTATATTATTTCTACAGGGAATACTTATATTTATTTTATATGGGGTGCTTGATGTGCAGGTGAGTTCTTTTCCTCCTGAATACTATTTAAGTACAATTCCTATGATCTTATTCCTCCCTGAAATAACGCTACGTATATCGAATAAATAATTTCGTTTTTTTTTAGTTGACCATTTTAACCTAACATGAGCAGCAATATACTAACTCCCCCTCTCTTGTACTTATTATAATAATTGTTCTGATAATGAAGTAGCATATCCAATTTTTGACGTGAATGTCACTTGAAATTTATGCGAATTACTAGTACATATGCGAAATGTACATGTTCCATTTGTTCACAAGAACCATGGTTCATATGAAGTGTTATATGTCATTTAGCAGGGAATTAATGGCAATAGTCTGTCGTCATGCGAGCCTGACTAAATACACTCACTTGCCGAGCTTCAGACAGTTTCGTAGGTTCAGCCCAGTCGAACTCAATAGTGAATTAATGTCGACTAGTGTTTGTGGCCACATACCCCATTGGGTATACGACCACCAATGGATGAAGTCGTTCTGTATTTGATATCCTACCTTGTCTATCCCTTGGAACTACTGACTGTGAATCGGCTTAGGCGCAATTACACTTCAGGTTTTCCAATTGATTCCTGGTCTCTTTTCAGGTGCAAATATTTTACAGAAACAAATTTGGACACAACCACAAGGCTGTGCAAGACTCGTCACCGAAAGCCTGGTCAGATAAGACAAGTGAAAATAATAAAACGAGTCCAAATAATTTCAGGGCGAGTTCGTTAACCAGCTTCAGTAGCCGGGCGAGTGAGAGTGTCGCCACTATTAGAAATGATTCTACGGCATCGATATCTTCAGCTGCAACCAGGCGATTTGTAAGCGATTCTGTATTATTAGTTGTCGCCACATTCAATAATATGAGGAGTTTTCTGATTTCTGTGATAGCTGGCATTGATGTATTGTCGCTAACCGATTGGAGTAATGTCGCTAATATATAAATAACATTGATAGATGTAGCAGTTGCTAAAAAGGCGAACGAGTTACACAGACGAGTAATGACACTTTATGTGTTAGAGTGGTCAAAAATGATAACTAATACATAGACTACTCAACAACGCACAGTTTTTTGTCGTTCCTGAAAAATATTCTCCCATCTATATAAATGTATTGAGAATGTTTTTTTGTAATTTAGCTTGTTTTTTTTCCAGAAGAAGACACTGGTGTTACCGATGAGAAAGACGACCTCTTCGCCTGGACCTTCAAATTCCTTGGGACAAACATCTAAATCTCTCTCGTGATGAGTTTGTTTAAAGACTTCAAGGGGAAAAATCTCGTGGTCGCAACCATACTATTTACTGAGTTGGAAAATCAGTTCGTGGAGTATATGAGCACGTGGAATGAAGATTGAAAGTCTGATATTAACAATTTATCCAGTTGTTGTAATGGATTGGCAGGGATTGTCATTGGATAAACCACATATAAACATTTGATGAACACTACATCACAGTTGCTGGGTAATTAAGTGTGTACACAACACCTGCAAAACGAATTACTCCTTCAAGTTCAAGTTCAGGAATATTGCGTCATCCTACTAACTATGTACATAATATGTGCAACTATGAGTTCATCCAAATTTGACCTTAATTGATTGGATAACATTCCTGACAGCTGTCAAGTCTACTTTATGTGTCCAGATTATGATACGATTGTTTCAGGAAATAGAGTTATTGAACAGTTCAGCAACAAATAAACACATACATAAACCAATTATATAAACAACTGAATGAAAGATGAAATGAAAGTAATAGTAAAATTCAATAACATTGTTTAAATGGAAGAGCTGCGACACAGACAGTGAATACAAGTTGCAATGACCTTGAACATATGATGCAATGAATGGCTGGCAAACTAGACACTCGGTTCAAAAGTCGTAATCCTGTAGCGATACAATGGAAAACATTATTCTAATAACTGGGCGTGTTTTTGCGATATATTGGTTGTGGGTTAAGGAGCCTTCACATGTTGCAACCGTGGCTAAGGACTGTGAAACACTGCTGAAAACTGTACGTTTTAAGTATGCTAAATACCCATTCATTTACGATTGTACTTCATTAAATTAAATTTGTTCAAACTATCCTTCACTTCAACAATCATTATTACGCTTTGTTTGTATATACGCATCGCTTCAGACATCTATTTTTTATCCCATATTTACACATTTGTGTCTGGGCCGTGAAATTCATAAAATTATTTTCTTACTGTTCAATTTATGATAAATAACCTGCACTAAGTCATTTGACATTTGCTGCATGATAAACTTCAAATCCCACTCTGTAAAACATGCGCTGACATTCTCATTGTGGTAGTTGTTGATTTAGAAATAAACAATGTTGTGAGTACGAAGACGGAAATGAGCAACGATAATAGCACGTTTGTACGGGTATGTTTAGTATAAAATTTTGCAAAATTATTCATATATATTGAATTCAAACCGCTATAACATATATCTAGAAAAAAATATACACATTGCACTTACTATGCGGCACATACCCTTCATAAAAAGACTGGTCGTCCTTCACCGACAGTAAAAATTAAGTGTAACATTGTAAAAAAACAAACTGTAAACACCAAGTATTTCATTGGATGTTGTACTACCTCAGGTTAATTTAACTACAGCGTCATGATTTCTTATTCAGTAGACACCGGAATATCAAGCAATTGCCACAAGCTGTTTATTTGAATGGTACCGTAGATGGCGCGCTTTTACCAAATCATAAAGCGTAATATCTTACAAAAACTGTTGTATTATTACATGTTTAAAAATATTACTGAAATTCTTTTTTATTTTTATAAATATTATTCATTCACGTTCAGCTAAAAGATACAATCTGGTTTGAATAATTGCTTTCATTGACCCAATGTCGTTTTGTTTTATGTTTTGTTCACGTCTACGTAATAGGAAAGTATGTATGCAAAAAATTTAGCCGACATGAATGCGATCATTGGTAAGAGGGTTGTAAGTAAATTAGGGTCATTGGTTCATGGTTACATGTGGATTCCCAATGTGTCGATTTTTTCAGACACTTTTGGTTGATATATAATGTGGCAGACTCGAAATGTGCTGATTGGTTAAAACAAGTGTACATGGGTGTATAATTACACAAGAACTGCCTATCAGCACCATTGCACATATTCTTATGTGGCTGTCATATTTACGGTGTGTACAAAAACGCTGTTGTGAAATCACTATTACTATGAAATCACCATCCTCTCGGTTACCGGGTCAATTACGCAGGCGTATTTTTTCCTAATAAGAACACGTTTATTAAATCATGTATATTTTCTCATTAGCCTGCCATGATAATTTATAATTAAGTTAGTAGTATTCCGAATATTCACCCGGCATATTATCCGATCCGAAACATAGTATTCGCAGAACTACGTCAAGTTTGGGACCGATAATTGTTTGTTGATTTATGTTATTAATTTCCCATGCGGACATGTATTTGGTAATATTTTGTGTAGAGCGGATTATACAATTGAGTAATGCGTAAACGAGCTCTAGAAAACAAATACAGACAACAACATACCGTCAACTAGTTCACGTAACAAAACAATTGGTAAATAACGCCTTTCACAATAATAATTTCACACGATAATTTCGAATACATAATACACAAAGAAACAAAGTTTCACTAATATATATATAAGTTTTCCCCGATTCCAAACTATATGTATTGCAATCGATTACACGAACATAGTGAAATACTAAATTCGAATTCGCAAATGCGCCTCGTTACTGTAAGCAGATGCGCTTCCGAAACTCTGCAATACACTGCCCCAAATATGGCCAGACTTTTATTATCCATTGTTTCGCGAAAATGAAATAAAAATATAATTCAGCGTAATTTCTCGCGCCCGCCGACTTGTAAGCGCAAAAAACTGCTAAAAAAATATTATTTTTATCTTCATTTTTTTACCGCCCGCCGCATAACAAATCTAAGTTGCATTTTCGTGGGAGTATCATGATCAAAGTACCGAAGTATACATGGAATAACATTTTATTTCATTTCTTCTCTCCGATCAATGATCTCACTTACATTTTTTTAAGAATCACACAAATCTAATGGAAAAAAAGAATTGAATTTATTTTTTTCCGCGCTTCTCAAAAAAAATGCCTTATAAGAACTCGCGAAACATGGAATAAAAAAGTCTGGCATAAGATAGTTTAAAATAGAATGTGGGAAATGAACTAACAAGTTGGTAATATACGAAGGCGGATTTAAACAAATCAAATAATATTTAATTATCAAACTGTACCTGGTAGCTAACTTAAAACCACAATAGCTTTGAAAATATGCCTTCCGGTGACTAATGGTTAGTTTTTGTTCGAATTTCTGTCATTGGAATTGTATGCTTTTTATGTGAAAAACTGTGGGTTCACCTGTGTTTTGGTATTCTGCCTATACTCTAAAATTTACCAGTGTTAAGGGGCATGACTATTTTGAAATAATAAACATTCGTTTCACCGACCACAGTCACACCTTGTAATTTAAAATACACGTATTACGTAGTTATATACGTCAATATGAGATATCTCGATTGTTATAAAAACACATCAAATTATTGTAATTCATTCAGTTGTATAATTGCAATTATTCACATACAGACCCAATAAAATGTGTCCAATTCGTACAAAATTACTTACTCGTTGTGTTTTCATAATAAATTCTTTCTGATTGACAATTATGTGTCCAAATGAACGGCGAATGGCTTCATTTCCTTCCTTCAACGTAATATGGTGTATATTTTGACTACACCAAAAGACCGCCACTAAACTACATGATTTCTTATGCCCGACATATCTTGTCCATTCGTGGCGAGGCGTAGCGTTCGTAGCTCCTTGATTACGAAATGGCACTTTTTAGTTTAGATGGCGTCAGATAAAATTCGAAATTCAGCATGGTTCAGCACATTTTGAGTCGTTAATGTAATTAATTGTGTTTTTAATTATGTGACGCCGATAACGTTCTAATTGTTCTGATTCTTTTATTCAATGAGGTAGATACGTTCAGACAATACATAAGAACGTTTTGTTACACAGTCGGGGAAACCATGTTGAAAAGCCTAATTGCATCCGAGCTAAGCTAAACGGTTGATATTGTAATAATGAGATGCGTCGGAATGTGTACCTTCAGGCGGTGTTCACGAGATTAACAGGCTACCAGACGAGCAACAAATATCAATAGGTTTCCGAAAATAATTAGGTAACCAGCATAGCATAAGCATTCTCGTGATGATCATACTCGTCCGTGCCCTGGTAATGACAAATAAAGGACAGTGTTGACAGTTGTATGATTGTCACTTTCAACAATTGTAGCCATCTGTTCATGTATTACTCACACGCACTGATTGGCGTCAGTGTGATATACAACGTGGTATAGGTTGACCAATAAGAACGAGTCTCAATAATGGAATCGCGTTATTTACTTATACCGTAGATGGCGCACTCTTGGCAAACCAGGTCAACATGTTGCAATCATGTCTATGTAAACATGATTATGTCTAGGTATACATAGCACATACAAATATGTAAATATAAAAAGTAAAAAACACAGATTGTATTTGTTATAAAGTCTGTTAGATTTCCATTTGTTTAGATCACGATTTCGTATTTGAAATTTCACTTGTATTGAGATTCACATTTTGCTTGAATTGAAATAGGATGATTACGGTAATGTTTTCAACAAGGAATCACGTCTTTGTTTTTCATTGTTTGTGTATTTTAATCAAAATCCTAACATGTTGATCCACGCTTCGATCATTCTGCGACATAATTTTCAGTTCACGCCACGTTTTTGTTGAATTTTCATATTGAAATTACAATCATCAAAATACACAAAAAAACTTGACCTTCCCAGCTACATATATTAAGGTAGCGGGACTATTATTTGCATACTTGTTTTCATCATCTAATTGTGAGCAAATGATTACAAATAGACCCAGGAAAGTATATATTTTTAGAATCGTCAGACTTCAAGCTTTTCAAAGGTGTGTTTTCCATGTTCCATCTGCATTCTACCGTGCGTTACTTAATCAAAAGTGAAAAATTACTTTTTTTGTAAAAAAAAAATAATTACGCATTTATGCTGGTGATAAGAAGTTTGTTTTTCACTTTTCCTAGTTGTTCAATAGTCTGGTAAATTGAATGTGTCTGGTCAGTTTTATTCAAGCAACGCATTTTGAAAAGTACCTTGTATTTTGAAAAAAAAACATAAACTCCTAGAAAACGTCCATGAAGTAACAGCAAAGATTTTCAAACTTGTTTATCTGCACAAGCGATTTGTTTTCCCATCAAGATCTGTTTTAACATGTGTAGGGGCATCCATATGGAAACCAAAAAATAAAGGAATGGGATAGCTATAATTCGATAAAATCGGCAGACGAAAACACCAAAATCAATGATTTTTTTCAGTGGCTGTGTAACCTTGTGTCTGACACATTTATATGCAAATAACTAATCTGTGAAATAAAAAGGGGTGGAGACAAACCACTCAAATGTTTGGAAACACTCATTGTGTTTCAGACAGCTACTGATAACACATCCTAACATTGCTTTGTCTTGAGTTAATCTTTGAAACTTATAGGCACACAGATTAAACCTGTGTTGTTGATTCTGGAAAACACTACTGAGGCTGCCTTGCTTCCCTACAGAAAATCTACATTTTAACCAACTTACATGATATTCTCGGTTACGTTGACTTTATCAGATAGAAGTTTATAGTGCATTTCATCAATTAATAAATAAATGTGTCGCTACTTTAAGTCAAGGTAATAGTAATAAAAGTAATAGTAGCAGATAGAAAGCGTACTGCGTTTAATATAAGCTACAAAACATATGACACAATATCTGCTTACTCTGTTACAACTTCGCATCAAAACTCACAAATATAATATACGCACTGGAGAACACCGAATTTATTGTATTTTTTGCAATGTATAATTGCAAATATTCACGTACAAGCACAATACATTTTGTCAAATTTATAGAAAAATATCTTGTTATGTGGATCAAGGCCATGAATATTAATTTTATTTTGGCATACACTTATTGCGCAAAATTGTGCTGAAATTTCGTGATCATAAAGGGCGGTGGTCTCGCTCTATGCATACGCGAGATATGGGTCTCATATAAAGAAGGATAACAAGGATAACGAGGATGAGACGTTACCAAGATTTAACTTACGGTTATTAGTGCATGTGGCGCCCAGGGCAGAACTGGGACTCTTGATTCCATTAGAAAAGCGCATTGGATTGTGGGAAAAATCAACGTTTATCAACACAAATTTCGCACATGCGCAAAGCGACGACCACGCCCTTTAAACATTTTATGATAAAGATTGTGTGTTAAATGTGTTACCCGTAATTGCAGACAATTAAACGGGTAAATCCACAATAACTGAATAAATAAATATTGTTGAATTTAAGTCAAAATATGTTAACAGTGTAATTAAGAGTTTATCAGAACATACGTAAATTTACCACTGTTTAATAAACAAAATAGCGCCAACGAATGGTATATTACCATATGTTATATACATAGATAATAATTTAAGACATGAAACAGGGTGATGAAAACGACACAAGACAAAATATACAACAGAAACAAACAAAAAAAGCAGTCTTTTTAAATTAGGAACGGCAACCGGAAATGATAATTTAGTTAATATTTACCTATATTTTTTACTCATTTGCTCCACCACAAGATGTTTAGATTTCTACGCATTTGATTCAAATACAATCCCACAATATTTATGGTGGATATTTGAAACAAGGCACGCTAAGTGTCGTCATTATTGAAAAAAAAAACACTACCTATAATTTTCGTATGAAATCATGTGAAGCGGGGAATATTCAACCTAAAATCAGGGAAATAAATTGATTCTGCTTATTGAATTGGTTTGCTGGGCTCTGATACATTGAATAATTGAACCCAGAATTGTTTGCTAACGCTGTGTAGTGTATACTGAGAGCAGGGGAAAAACGGTGACAACATTTCTGGTCCAAAAATGAAAGTGTACTTTTTGAATATGCATTATAATATGCCAACACACTACCAACACACTACCAACACTTATAGTTTCGTATTTTATGCATATTTTACATTTGCATATTCATAACGTTTTAGAATACACTGGCGATACATATTGTGCATGAGTGTATTACCCCGACCCATATTGCATTGATGAGTTATAAAACGACACTGGAGGGGAATATTGACAACCTGGCTATCGGTAGTTCGATTGTTTATTGCTTAACCAGGCATTTTGAATTATTTATTTGACGAACATTGTGTTTGTACCGATGTACACAAATGTCAACTGGACCATGATTATTAAATATGTTCTGTGTGTCTTTCAATTTCCGAAATATAGTACGCCAACGTCGACTTAACGTCCATTATCGGATATTAATGACACCGTCACTTTCTAAACACAAAGTATCCCCCAAAATAGAGTGAAAATGCATACATATTTTTTCAATCGAAAGATGGTAGCATTAACACACAAGTCTAGTGTTCGGAAGGGATGAATCACGTGCTCGTAACCAGCATACCATTCCTGAAGACAATTTCGCCATCTTTGCCTATAGCCCGGATCAATGTTCTCATGTTCTCCATAGTGATACGAGCATCGTGTGAAGTATATGGTTCAATCTTTACATCATGGAATGACGCCGATTTCCCGAGATTTTGTCGAGCATTTAAAACCGCAGCTTGGTCCTCTACTGTTTCTAGTACAACGATAAGTGAAGGGTCTTCACTTGGAGACATTCGTCGATGAGCTTTGTCCACTTTGGCACTGACACCGAGTCCCTCTCTGAATAATTCATATACTTTTTGAAAGGTGTGTTCATGTGGAACTGCTGGGAGATTTCGAATCACAATACCGCGTTCAATGGCTTCTGCTTCTAACTTTGTTTTCGCTTCGAAATGGTCCAATTTCTCCTCTAAAGCCTTAAGCTTGTCCTTAATGATAGCGATTTCTGACGTCAGATTTAGGTTCAACTCTGTCAACTTCTCATGTACTCCATCCATTATATGCTGATGCAATGTTCGAAATTCGTAAGGCGACCATGCGGCTTCCTATTAGGAATAAATACAAAAACGCTCAAAACAACATGGCCACACCAACATTCAGCGCCACTACCCTACACTACACTATACTACACTACACAACACAACACTACACTACACTACGCTACACTACACTACACTACACTACACTACACTACACTACACTACACTACACTACACTATACACCCACTCACACACTAATAACAATGCAATCAAAATCTAGACCGTCCGTATTATGCGGACAACGTAACAACATTAAATTTCATAGGTCTCTCCAGAACTGCGCACACAACAATGTAGTATTTGCCGACTGTTATGAATACTTCTATGACTGTATTATAGTTCACATAAATATGCCTTTTGCCACGAATAATCACTATATCGCTCATTATCTATGGAAACTAACTAGGTTAAACGCATTCACCAATACTACAAAAATAACAATGCTTTACTTACATTAACGTTGTGTTTCAGAGTTGAGAATTTGTTACTTTGATGAAATAAACCCAGTGCCTCTACGTATGGTTCATGTTTAGTCGCAGCTAAAATAGTCATTCCTGTAAACCAAAAGTTGACATAAGACTTGTTTATATGGCGTTATCTTCCTTTATTTATGTTTTCATTTTTGTGCGTTTATTAAACTGTTTGTCTCTGCAATAATGAATACGCTGGCAATAGCACCGAGTCTCAAAGCAACGCGTCGTATAATGGCGTGTTGTTGCTGTCATTGCTACATAATAGTGGTGGACATAGGTGACATACATTAATCAAAGACTTACCTTTGTAATTGTAAACTTTAATCATAATCAGTGTAAGTAATATACAGGATACAAAAAATCCAACAAATAAGTTTCTTTTCATATGCATGTCTGATCTAGTGACGCTGTTTATAAATAACTGTAATTAAACACGTGAAATATGTGGTAATAGTGAAACACGATGATTATAACACTGCAAAACAATCATAGTACTTTGGGTATGGTGAAGTAACCATGGTCGTATTAATTCTGTTGTTATTATTATATTTTTATTATACTTCTAAAGATTAACAACTGTAATAAACATATAAACATTTTTACGTCGAATTGGGTCAAGTGAAGACAATTCAATTTCGAGACTGCTCTTAATGTTAATTAACTGTGATTCAGGTATTCTATCTTTACTAAGCATGAATCACTTGACGGCAAATTTTGCTATTGTGCCACTATTCTGCAAAAGACTGTAAACCCGCGACTTACCTGGAATTGTACAAAACGTTTGTAGAACTCTAGGTTATACAGTTTCCTTTATACGCATTTATGTTTTAAATACAACCAAGTACCTACATACATTCTACTGATAGTTCACTGACTTCAGTTTTGTGTCTATAAAAAGTCGAAATAGTTCTGGATAGATTCGAAAAAATGTATAAATAATTTTCCTTGTGTTGTGAAAAATAATGAAGATATATATTGGTTAACTACAGCGATTCAATGAAACAGTGAGGCATCAAACATGTTCAATTTAAGCGTACGAGCAAACTTATGACAGAAAATAATATTAATTTGAGGGAATATTGATGTGTTCTACACAATAATGGTTGTTATAAGTTTATGTAAGCGGTGCAAGTCAATCATGCAAATGAACGTGTAAGCCTTGATGCAAATTGGTAGTGTGTATGATGAATGATGTTTACAAATTTAATGTTTTGATGATGTGATGACATACGAGCCGTGCAATACATACATTTTCCGTTAATGATATAGATGGGCCCTTTTCGGTAGGCGACTTTTGCATGTTAGCTTCCTCGTCAAAATCTGTATCCGCCGAGCAAGACGACTGACTGTGCGTGCGGCTTACGACTGTCAGAGCTAAAATGGGATAAAAAAGGTTTATTGTGACCTTGATTGTCACTATAAATTTCAGCATCTGGTATATATACAGGCATGATGTAAATATATTGTTACACGAAAGCCGTGAACTTGACTTAAAAGTTCATATTAGGCAATAAATAACCTTGGGTGTCTGCATTATATACTATTGTGTATAGGCTCGATGCATATCACTGTTCGTATTTTAAAACCCAAACTTAACCATGGGATTATGCGATTATGCATGTATTATTTATTGACTCCCTGCATTCGAGCAAACACAACCAGCAACCTGTTGAGCGTACTAGAATGCGAAGCACAAGCATTCTCACTATATAATCTCTTCATTTTGTGAACACACATGTACTAACATATGTAAATAAATATATCTAGGAATGTTAAATCATGGTGGTGATGGTGGGAGTGGGGGGGGGGGGGGTTACCCGGCCTGTGACCATCATTGCCCACGCATATAAAGAAAAGCCCGTAAATGAGACCCATACATCTATACATTGCCTTTGGGGGAATTTAAATAATTCCTACTATATATAGTAAGTGTAGGTGAAATAGTAACAGCAAACAGTAATAACAATATGGGAAATTGAATTAAAAATGTAAAAAAAAAAAGCAATACCACAGATTTAGAAATGTGGACGATTTAGAGATTTTTGGTTATCTTCAAACCCTTTTCAGAACGAATATGATACCAAGTCAACAGACGAGTGACATCGCCTAGAGGGCAATACGATGTGTTAGAGTGCAATTGGAAACATGATTTGTAACAATCATATTTAGAAGCCGAACACGACTAGACGTCCATCGCAGGAGGCAATTCATTGACAATAACGGTTACGATAATCAACTACCAATCAACTGCGGCGACGAGGGACTAGTGACCTGGAAATTGTCAAGACGGTTTTGGGCGACGTTGCTTGACCCATTTTTGCCAAGTGTTAATAGCATGAACAGAAGTTCATAGGCAATACCTCGTGTAAATCAACCTACAGTGCAACATAGCATATTAGGCATATACAACAATATATACTGCATATGAGAGACGAGTAGTGAAGGTCGATGCCTGGGTACACTAGTTGTGGTATTCCCGTAATAACACTATTATCTTTCCTGCTTGTACTAATAATATAATGAGAGAATATAGGTTGAAAAGACGGCGAACGTTTGCGTTCAGTGACAAAATTCCGTTTCCGTGGCGCGCTGTAGTGCTTCTGCGACCGATGTAAACAAAGGAAAGTGTTCCTACGTGACCTCAATAACCTGGGACGCGTCAGTGTTTGTGACGTAATTTACCCCATATAAGGGAAAATTCGAACGTTCAAATAAGTGTTGATACGTTTGGGAAGAAGTTCTCATGCGAATTTTTAGAGAACGGCAAATTCTATTCTTCCGTTGCTAGATGTATATTAATTAACAGTGGATACTATAAGGTTATTACGAGGATACTTCAAAGTATGTGAAGCAGTATTCAATTTTACTACTTTTTATTATTATTTTAGTTTATCAATATGTATTTTTTGCTCGATATTTGTTTACTTGGTCTTGTTTCCGAGTTGCATTACGATTGAAATGTATTTTGATAGTTTTAGAAGATTTTGCATTAGCATAGTTGCGTGACAAAACAATCGGAAGTTGAAATGCATGATGGGACCATGAGGTCTGAGAGAGCGCCTTTTTCAAGATGTCGGACTGACAGCAACTATTTTCCGACGCGCCGCAGATTGAACTGCCCTGAACTTCGCCGAAGTCTACGTGACGTTTGGTCAGTGAACACTGATTACTTTGTGGCGAAGCTGCGAATTATTGTTTTAACGGCAAATCGTCCACGTCTGCGCTGTTCTTCACGGTCTGTGAGTATTTATTGCCATCCTGAATTTGTGCAAATCCGGACACTATCCCGTCGAACTCAACCTGCACAACGCATCAGATGTTTAACAGCGATCGAGCCCAGCGTCTACCGTGAAATCTACGCAGTGAGCTGACTTGTGGTGACAGACTTCACAGCGATCAACTGAGAACAACGAATACGTTCTACGGACTACCGGTTGCTTATACAAGACGATAATATTCTGATTCACTGATAAGTATTTTTATGTAACGTTGAACCATTGACATTGAACTATTCTCATGTGCGATCACGCAATTTATGCAACGTAATAGGCATTTGTAACTGTTATTGTTATTACCGTTATACTCATGTTGTCGGTGTTGAGTTGAATTTACAGTGAATCGATCGATCGATAGTCAGGGTTTATTCGAATTTTATTTTATTTTTTATTAAATATCGATTTCATTTACTTGCATGATTGTCATTACTTTAAGGCCATTAGCCCAGCCCCTCATAAATATTACTCTGTCACGTTGTCAACCGAACTCAGTTTCGTGGTTAATGGGTTGTATCAAGGGTTCTGAATTCTAAAACTGTTCTGGTAAAATTTCCAGAATTTATTTGGTAACTAAAATCCGCGCGATTTCATTACGTTGACGTAATCACGTGTTACATATGCACTTTAAGGTATTCTCGTAATAACCTTATTATTATACATCTTTTCCATCTAAGGACATCATGGGAATGCCGAAATCCCAAAAAGTTTAGAACAGACTTCTTTGTGTGCCAGTTGAGTCCGGTGAAACCTTGGTGCCAGCCATGTTAGTTTTTATTATTAGAAGGCGCTTATGCGCGTAATCATTCCATATTTGGAATTTGCATTTCCTAATATGGTAGGACGAAAATACCCCGTAAAATACCGCAAAATTACGGCATGCTGTAACTTATGACGTTACGGTGACAGATGTATAATGATGTATATTCCCAAACTATAGACATCGAAAAAACAAAACAAAAATATTACCCTGATTCCAAGACCAGAATTTGCGTCGTTCGTAGATGCGCATGGTAAATTAATCTCCTATATAACACCACTACCCTCGTAGCAGAGATGTTGAATACTGGAACTCGTGTTCTCAGTTTTCTGACTGTTGTGATTTTTTAAATAAACAACGCAATTTCTATTTTTGTGAACAATGAAGTGAGTCAATTGTGATTCAGCGCGTTTCACACACCCCATGTGATCATGGATGTTTGTTTGGTCATGTAATTTACATATTCAATAAAGCGAAACAGCTGGTTGGTATGGTAATCTCAGTATTATGTTATATTATATTATATTATATTATATTATATTATATTATATTATATTATATTATATTATATTATATTATATTATATTATATTATATTATATTTCTTGAGCGTAATTATCCCTACTACCTATGTTTTACAAATCAAGGAAATCAAATAAATCCAAATTACCCCATATTGCATGCATTCAGCAAATTTAGTACTAATTTGAAAAGTTGGATTTTTTAATTTTCGAGTCACATCTTGAATATAAAGATATTTCAGAAATTTATATTAAAATTAATTCATAACAAAATGTATATTATATGCACCCATACAAAATTTTCATAATTACTGATTACACAAGAATATTACAGAAAAGGAGATAATTTGCTAAATTGTTGTCTTTTATTTGTCTTGAATTATGACTATAGAAGCTGAATGAAATTACAAACTATGTAGTGTGTTCAACAACTCATGTATGAACAATAACTTTCATAAATATGATTTTACTTGGTAAAAATACTGTATCTTTCTGATTTAAAACAAAAGAATTTAACAATGTCGAAAACGGAAAGTCCCTATCGCAGCTTGAGTGTTAAACTGTAAAGTTTGTATGATTTCAAAATGGGGATGATAAAATTATTTAAAATTATGGATATGTAAATAGTATTTTATGCATGGGTATAAACTCACAATCTCTCTTTGTCTATGAGGCACAACTAAAACAGACAGAACACAGACATGTTTGACGTTGTATTGTTCTTTTATTTATCCAGATGGAATCCAATGCACAATTAAAACCACAGAGACATTCAGAGAGAGATAGAGCAGAGGCTGCGGCACGACATTTTGCATGGGGTAGGCGAGATCTGCTCACCAACCTTGCGCGCAACCTTACTAGATGGTCAGCCGCATTTCTGGATTTTGAGGGACTAATTTCGCTGGCGCAAAGGGTTTTAGCTTGATTTTGGATGGGCGACGCCCCCCTCAATTTTTTTCGAGGCTGCCGCCCCCCTGTGCCGCTGCCAATGTAGAGAGTACGTGACACATATGCCTATGACCTGATCCCTGGTTTGAGAGACACCAAGGCCAATAATTCATCATATGATCACAACATCTGACTCACCGTAGTTTATTACGTCGCATGGCTACATGTTTATCGGAGGAGCAATGTACACCCACCCAACTCTAACTGTGACTTAATCCTACTCATCTGGTCTTGTCATGTGGGGTGCAACTACTGCATTTATTTTTGTGTCATAGTTATAAATTACGCTTGATGACTGCATGTGTGTTCGCAGTAGAATTTAATTCATATGATTTGTGTTACCAGACATACCCGATAGAATGATTGGCCTCAACACCCACTCAACACAGTACCGGATACTGCACGCATATTTATCGCTGTTGTATTATATGGACAATAATAAAATCAATGTATGTTATCTGTAAAATGATAATTTAGTAATAATTGTATTTTATTTTGTTTTAAAGGTTTTAATACATTGTATGGCCTGCCCATTGTTCAGAGTTTGTTTATTGTTTATTTAAATTTATTTATTTATTTTATACATATTCTAAATGTAAATAATAACAGTATTGCTAAATTAACCTGTGACAGTATTGGATCAGTTTATATAATACATGTATTGTGTTTATCATTTTAAATCTGAAATTAATGATCGTAATATATACTTTGTAAGTAAATACGAGTTAATTAATATTTTTACGTCATAGAGCTGACGTTATATTATATTTTCAACAATGACATGGTCATATTTACGCAAATAAATCCTAAAATAAATAACGAATGAATCAGGTGTTACTCTGAAATCAAACAAGCTACAGTTGACACTCATAATTATAATGCATCTAAATATATATTCTGTTCAGCACACGTCATCGCACACAAAATGGTTTATAGGCTGGTAGACATAAGATTTTACAGTATTACTTGTACGATTTGGCATTCTACATATGTAGACGTATAAATGGCAACTCCAATCGAATGGTGATCGAATTATTAGTTACATACTGGGATATAGAGCACCAGTTACCGTCCCATACGAAAATACAGAGACTAACATGTTGTCAGCGGGATTCGACAGTTTAAAAAACAATAATTTGTTAGCTCACCTTCACCATTACTTGTAGTCGTCAAAGTTAATATCCCGTTCGTCTCTGTCATTTTGAATTTAAGATACCGTAATGGTTTGATTATTCACCTGGCAAAACTCCTCGCGTGGCGCAGTCCATCGTATTTCATATTTTTTATCGCATAGCCAATGCATGTGTCGTATTTTACAAAAAAAAAAAAAAAAACGGTAAATTCACAAATGCGCGGCTGTTCCAAAATCTAAACACTCCCCTCAAAAAACTAAACTGCGTCTGTTACATAGAACATTTCGACTCCGTGAACAATAAAATGTTGACGCATTCGTGGCGTTATAGAGTGAACTCTATTTTGAAATTGAAACGCAATCGACCAATTATGTTTCCAGGTTATTCAGCCTTAGAAGTGTTATCACATGCAGTCCATGTTTCGATAATTACGGAATATATAAATTTTATTTATTTTCCCGGAGGGAGGATCGATATTCAATATGTCCCCTAATCGCAATCAGCTGTTCCCGGCATACTCGCTTTGCATACAGAGAGTATCATGGCTTATCTACTCGTATCACGGCACCAGCTGACTGAATAATTAGGAAACCTATGCAAACACATACGCCCTATGTTAGTCTACGCGGTGTTCGCTGTATTTAAAGCCGCTGGGATATTTTGTTCGAAACGCCTCTAATTACCCCATATGTCATTCCCTTTTCCGCAAATTGCGAGATCTCGAGGAACGTGGCTTTTAGCAAGGGACCCTGTTGCAACCGCCTACTGGGCCATAATATGCAGTCAGACACGTTTTTCATTTGTTTTGATAATTTCTAAATGTCGTCATGGAAAATGCCAGTAAATGCATACCACGTTCTATATCAAGTTCTAAACTCTAAACCGAATGAGTTGAATGTATCAAACAATTCTAACATATAACATTTAAGCCTGTCAATTTTTGCAAAATAATTAAAATCTTCGGATTTGTAGTTTTGTTTGTTCACGATGGAACAATTGGACAAAGACTACGAACATGTGTCAACAAAGTGTACATTTCACTAAATCTGGCTTTCGTTAACACCAGTTTTTTTTTTCCAGCGATTTACGACCTCGCTACGGTCTACCCCTGAAAGAAATGTCCTATTCGAGATGGCAAAAACCAAAATCCAAAACTTTAGAAATTTGCCACCAAAGACACAATTCATAGCCTTGCTAAACATAGCGGCCTAACACTCCCTGTAGCAAGGTATCTAAAGAAGTGTTTTGAAATAAGACAGCAACCCCAGTGACAATCTTCTTTCACAATTTAAGTTTTGCATTTTGTTTTCTATCTATTGTAGTATCATAATTGTATACTTGTTATTCTCTGTAATGTATTAGCTTAGTTTGTTTTATTTTATTTTATCCATTTTCTGTTTTGTAACCTTTTTATTCCTTCTTAAACTTTTGTAACCATTGCCAATCCCTCCAGGGAATGTGTAAGTGTTAATAAAATTATTATTAAAGCAATGTAACATTACTGTCAAAATAACAATCTAATGAAAAAGCCACAAGAGAAGCATGGTCAACAATGGTCAACGTGAGTGCAGTGATTGTGTACACAGCTAGCTTGTTCGGTTGACTCGAGTTCAAATCTTGTCTGGGGTTTCACATCAAACGAGGGTGACCCATACCTTAAGTTAGCATGCTAAGGCCACTCTCCGAAATATACTCACGGACGGGTTTGACACAGGAACAATTTGTTTAATAGGTGTTTGAACGTGCATCAGGTTTTCAAAATGATAACACAGTGATTACGTAGACGTTGTGAGTGTTCCAATAGTTAAATATACATTTGTGGGAAAATATATTGATGTGACGTCAACACTTGTCGGGAAAGTCAACAGTAATATGCAATATCAGGAGTTGATGCCTGACACATCACTATTTAACCACACTAGATCATGCAGCACATGTTATATCATATTAATTCCCACCACAAATATTTCAAACTGTAGCCTAGTTACAATATATCAAAATAAATCCACTACGTGTTGTCGTTGTCGGTAAAATCCTCATAATATAGTTGACAACGTGTACGATCATTCAACCAAGCATTACTACGCTTGACATCGGGCCATAATTACATATTAGCGTCGTAACTAGGCGTTAGTTGCGTTCAGCGATAGAACGCTGCATATATTTACGCCCAGTGTTTTAACCAACGAATAATGTATTTTTAAATTAACAGTCGTAGCAATATCAACGAAAATATAATAATGATTATCTATAGCTTAAACGGCAAGTAAATCAGTTGCTTTTGTCATTGTATTTTTTTCAATGGCATGAATGTAACTAAAATCACTGACATTTGATATATTACACCCCAGATGCCACAATAAATACTGACTTCATTAAAAAGCCACAAAAAAGAAATAAAATTTTATCTAAGTGCAAAATCATCCGCGAATATGTATTTTGCAAATGATTTGAGTTGGAGCAGCGGGTAGCGCTTCAATGAAATGGTTCATGTCCATGTGTGTGTTTGAGTAATTATGCGGCTGATATGGTTAGACAAACTATTTGTTCTGGTATTACATTTGAACTGGAAAAAGGAAATTTATGTTTCAAACTGACACACGTTTTGAAATGAATAACACTTGCACCTAGAGGTTGGCATAGCAACTCCTAGACAGTGGAGAGCAACAAACAAAGAAAGGATTAGGTATTTAAATGAGGAAGTAACAACATAATCAAACAAATCGGAAGAAAACATATTTGTTTGAACTTTTCACCTGTTCAAGGTCCCATATGTGCACTAAACCAGTAAACAAATAAATCGACTGTTTATATAATCCATTCATTATATTCAGTTAGATTCGTCATACAATCAACTTGTCCTTCACAACGTACACTCACCATCGTAGTAACGGCATGTGCGTTAATCTATTCAAGTAGACGGAAAAGCAGCATTCATTGAACGAATAAATAACCATGAAACGTAAATCACCTGTTTTATATCGCCACTATTATGTGATTTAACTCACTAGTATTTAACAAAATATCTAATTCACACACCAGCAGGTAAGAAAATATTTAGTGGTAATCTCTTTTTTTTATTTTTTTCATATGTGTTCTATTCCACGGTTCTACGAACGTTGTTAATTTATTTTTTCGAAAGCTGGTGCTACGAACTAACGTAAATTTTTTTAATTGTAATCAAAATCTATTTATTCAAGCGTATATACAAGGTGCAATCTGGGTTTTTATTATTACAAAAATAAAAACAAATAATTCAATTCAATCATTCAATTTTCTTGCTATCGACAGTATTAAAGAAAAATAACGGTTGAATCTATGTATTGGTTGTTTTGGCACCAAATCCTTGCGCAATGCAGTACGTTACTTGCTGCGAGTCCTTTGCGTTGGTGTTTTGAGTTTATAGACTGAAGCAGGCAATTAGCAGACTGCCAATCGACGCAATGTATGGCATACTACGACTGTAATACAGAAAAAAACAAACATAGCAGATAACAAAATCCCCTCTGGGAAAAAAAAGTACATGACAAACGCTGTCTGGTATACGGTGGTGAGACAAAAACAAAAACAAAATTAATTTACTTGTATTAAGCCAACCAATTATTTAAGAGCTCCCATTTACGATAGTGATATTGTTCCTTTCCTTTATATAGGGCTATTTCCAACTCTATTTTTCTATTTTCACGGACTAGTGATTTAAACGCAATTGCAGAAGGGATTGTAGCATTTCTTCTACAGCTATAAATATACTTTTTGAACAGTAAAATAAAATGGTTCAAAATTAGATTGTCATCATTTAAAATGCCTAAAATTATATTTACTTTATTACACTCTATTTGTTGAATTTCCCTTGGAATAGCATCTATTATGCCCTGAATTTGGAAAAATTCTACTTGAGAAATACCTTTAGTATTCCAAAAACCCCAATTGTAAAAGTTTCCATTGGTGTCAATTAAATCCCCAATCCGATTACTATTTTTGTTTGCCAAT